AAGGCAAGAGGACAACTTTTTCCTTGACCACATGAAGCTGTATTTGCCTATAGCTTGTAGACCCAATGATCTATGTTTCACCAAAATCTAAGGCTGCCACTCACTCATCACCCTCTCCAACCCCAGGGAAGCCAAAGTCATCCTGCTCTCCGACTTCAGGGAGGCCATCGGAAGCTGGAGAGGCAGCATATGAAGCAGCAAGGCATTGCGTCTTCCTTGGTTGAGGCGAAGGTGAATCCAGCTCAATGACCTTTGTATGCATCCTCTTCAATGATTGGAAGGTGCCAGGCTCCTTCTTCACCTTGACCAAGGCTGGGGCAATCTGATGCGGTGTTGGAGCAGGGCTCTGGGAAGAACATGGTGCTACACCTTGTTCCTGAACTTGAAGAACCGAAGGCGGTGGGACACAGAAGCGACCGGAGCTTGGCAGACGCGGCTTGATCTCTTTGCGAACTCTCTCTCCTCCAAAAGGACTTGCCCGTAGCACAGTTTGGATTCTTGGGATAGTCTTTTTGGTCTCCAAGCACAAACTCAGAAGATCATGGGACCACTGCCTTCTGGACATCCAATCGGTCGGAGGTGTGTTGTCTCCATCTTTCATGTTAGCAATGACCTTTTTGCCATGGGCAGAGATGAAGTCAGTGATCTGGCGGTTGTTCTCATCCTCTGGATATCGAACCACTGCAACAGGACCTTCACCAATTCCAGCTGGACGGACATAGGTGGCAAAGTCCAAGTTGACAATGAAATGTGCACGCTTGAGACAGGCCACAATGTCTTGCCTCTCAGCCTTATCAGGGAAAGCTGGAGCAATGAGGTCCAAGAAGTGACTGAACGGGATGGTGTTTTCTCCTGGCTTCAGCTTATCTTCAGCTTTGCCATTGACCCGGTTGTCACAAAGGATCCTGAGCTGGTTCTTGACAAATTTTGTGGTGGTCCACCTTTCGACTGTGTAGGCTTCCTCCAAGGAACTATCCAGGAATGCCTTCAACTTGGGCAAGGCTTGCTGGCTCATGTCAGCATCATCCAAGATGTCTGGACGCTCACGAAGACCAGGTTCTCCACGGAGCTGATCAAAGCTGGAGGCAATGCGGAAACTTGGCTGCATGGTCTCAGCCGTGTCACCGCGCAACAGCCAATATTCAGAGAAAGCCATTGCAATTGCCGAAGCAGCTGGTGTTTTCCCTGCTCCCGCATTTCCCAGAAGAACCAATGTTTTGTTCTTCATGTCTGGCAGCAAGGGAAAGATGACATCCTCCAGAAACCAGGCGCTCAGGTCATGCATGGTGAGATAGAAGTTGAAGGTGGGCTGCACAAAGACATTGCCAGTGGCATACCCTTTGAGAGACTCCTTGACCAAGCTAGTGTTCCAGCCATAGATTGGGCTTCCTTCCCGGTTGACCTCTATTTCTGCCCACTCAGTCCACTGGTTGTTCATGTTGCTCCTGGGGCCCTCACTCTGGATGTAGGAAAAGCCTTGCTCCAAGGCAGACTTCTCCTTGCATTTGCTTTTGGGCTTTGCTGTGAATTGGAAAGCAAGGATGGCATAGTCGGCAACCTTTTCAAGCAGGTACTGGAAACCTTGAGAGCCTGACCGGAAATTTTTGCCATAGTCTATGGTGAAGAGATCTCCAGTAGCAACCCGCTGCAGCCCGCGCACATCAATCTTCTGGGAGAAGATGTAATGCTTCAGGACGTCGTATGTGGTGTCATTCTGCTTGCGGAAGACCAGCTGGAAAGTGAAGGGTATGGGCAGGGCATCCTTGAGGGCCAAAGGCTCTGGAAGATTCTGGTATGACTTGCTGCTGACCAGATCTGCAATGGTATCCAGCTCATCACCCTCCGTGGGTTCATAGAGCACCTTTTCAATTGCAGTCTTCAGCTTGGTGTTGCCTTCGATGGGCTTCAATGGCAAGGCTGTCAGCTCATACGTCGGTTTCAGCACGCGACCCACAGGATGCTCCAAGCTCGTGCATTGAAGGCACCCTGCAGCTACACACGCCTGGTTGAAGAGGTCAGCCATGATGACGACGAAGCAAAGAAAGGCAAGGCTACAGATGACAGCTGTGACCCAAAGATGACTGCTTATTTGACAGATGATGCGTTAGAGAAGGGATGAAGTAGAAATGATGTGGATTGATCTGGATTAATCCTGGGATGCAAAACTTCGAAAAAAACAAAAAAACAAAAAAAACAAGAAAAACAAAAAAAAACAAAAAAAAACAAAGATTTGGCAACTAGTCCAGACATCAGAGTAGTTGTGGAAACATTGGTTTTTTTGTTTTTTTTGTTTTTTGGTTCGCTCAGGTCGCTAGTCAATCCGGGTTAGACGATTGCGCAGTTCGGGTTGGAGGATTTTGTAGTTCGGGTTAGACAGCAGACAGCGGACATGGGTTGCTTAGTCTATCAAATGATTCACAATACTTACACAGGCTGTTGTGAGCGCAAAAAAAACATGATATCATCCATAGTATCAAGGCTATATATCCCCAAAACTTCCTTTTTTTAGCGCTCACAACACCCCTTTCTGAACTTTTTTTGGCAATGTTTGTTGCTGGTAGTGCTATGCTGAGGCATACTGAGCCTTGCCCAGGCCGCATTCATGCTGAACTCCACTTGCTCAGGATGCTGAGGCCCTGTCAGGGACAAAAAGCTGAGAGCAAAACATACAACTATTTGGCACTAATCTCAATGTATAGTTCATTGATTGATTACTCAGTTAAAATCAGAAAGTAGCTATCCATCCTTTTGTTTTAAACAAATTGACTATGCAATCAAATACTTCCAGCCATCAGTTAAATAATCAGTTGACATACAGTAGAAGCCACCCACATCCCTTCAGAGCTGCACACTTTTTTGTTCCTTCAAGATGCATGGATTGCCTCTGAGTGCAGATTTAAAAACACTGAGATTTCAATCTCAGGCTTTTGGGGCTGAGGCTACTTTCACTCAGCTGCCTGGCTTTCCTCAGTGACCTCAGCCTGTGACATCTCCTCAATTTCAGGCATCTCCTGATCCCTCTCAGGGATTGGCTGCAATCCAGGATTGAAGATTGAAGATTGAAGATTCTCCAGGACTCTTGGTGGGGAATCTTCAATCCAGGACTGAAGATTGAAGATTCCCCAGGACTCTTCTTGGAGAATCTTCAATCCAGGAGAGAACCTTTAATATTGAATCCTCAGTCTTGGACAGAAGATTCTCCAAGAAGAGTCCTGGGGAATTTTCAATCTTCAATCTTCAATCCTGGATTGAAGATTCCCCAGCAAGAGTCCTGGAGAATCTTCAACCTTCAATCCTGGATTGAAGATTCTCCAAGAAGAGCCCTGGAGAATCTTCAATCTTCAATCCTGGATTGAAGATTCCCAAGTCTGAACTCAAGTCTGAACATCAAGTCTGAACTTCAAGTCTGAACATCAAGACTGAATCTCAAGTCTGAACATCAGGTCTGAATTTCACAGTTCAAGTAACGTAATGGTGTGCGCGTGTCAATTTCAAGTCTTTTCTTTAAGGTGCATTTGCATATATCATATGTATTTATGTATGGCACCCCCAGACCAAGTAAATGGACCTTAAAACGGTAGACTTTTTGGGGGGTTACCATCTATATATATATATACATAGATCATAGATCATCCATGACATTGGAAGACAAGAAATGAGGGTTTCCAAAGTCATGGCGATACCCCTTTGCATCATCCAGTCGTCATGGATGAACATGACTTAGTATCAACACCGAATGGTGAGTTGTGGTACCTTCATTTTTCAGAAATTATCAACATGTGGACCCCAAAATTCAAAGTTGGTTTCTAATCTCATTTGACTATACTTGGAACTAGAATAAAACCTTCCCTCATCTTCCAGATTTTAGGTAACCAAACCCAAAATCATAAGGTAAACTTAGCCTGGTTAACTATCCCAAGGTAACTGGAAGGTTAGGGCTAGTTTGCCTTGTTTTCAACCAACTTCGAAAATACCATTCATCAAATTGTCACAATTCCCAAAATAAAATACTGCCGAAAAAAGAACAGCATGCTGCCGCCATGCAACCTCTCACCATTGGTGGCAGTTGCAAAGTGAACGCTTCTGCTTGACTCATCCATCGAAAAGAGGTCCGTGCAATGAGTTCGTAGAACTTCTCAAACTGCTTCAGCAGATAATTCTCGCAAACTCACGCTTCAAGTAGCCGTCAACGGAAGCTTAAATTCCTCTAAAATCGCCACAGTGTCACAATCAGCCGATCAGAACTCCATCAGCCAATCTCCAGAGGGCTCAGTTCAGCAGCCAGGTCTTCCAAAAGCTCCGACCGGTCCCGATTTGTTCAGCAAGACACCGCCAGTTGGGTATAATGTCCATGTATATATATATATACAAAAAATAATCTATGTGTGTATATATATATACATATACATATACATAATCATGTATATATATATACATATATATACAACCACCAGGTGGTTAAAAACTAGGCTAACTATATGGCTAACTAGCCCTAACCGTTCAGTTACGATAGTTCACCAGGCTAAGTTTACCTTATGGCTTTGGTTGCCTTAAAGTTAACATAAAATACATACAATGTGGGGCCCCCAAACGATAGCTAAGTTGGTGAACATAACTCCAATACCTATGGTTTATAATACTTATAACTATAGTATTCATGGGCTTTTTAAACTAACGTTCACATCACTGGGGGGCCTCACATTGTACAAACAACTCGAATAACTAGGGTTTATATGGCTTGGTTTATAATCAACCTTGGCTAACTGTTGACCTATGAACTGGTTGATTGACCTATTTTCCTCCCAACAAGATCCAACGGTACCCTCTGGTAATTTAACATAGCTATTGAAAATCACCATGCTATTAATGGGAAAATCCACTATTTCTATGGCCATTTTCAATAGCTAACCGTTAAATTACCAGAGGGTAATCCACAGCTACCCTCTGGTAAACATACACAAATCGATGGAACATCACCATTTTGGCATTTTGTAGCTGGGTCAACGAGCTAAATTTTTAAATGGCCACTTTTCCATACGAGGGTAATCCATGCCATGTCGGTCCTCGGTGCTCTGAGTGAACTCAGGAGCCGCGGTGGGCAGAATATCCTCTTGGAGGCTGCGCTTGAAGATCTCATCCACCTGCGCTTGGCTGCGCCAGCTGCGATCGGAGATCTTTTTTTGGGGGAAAATCTGGGAATGATATACTGGCTATATGGGAACATGGGGGATATACTAGGTATATAATACATATATATATATATATATAGACATATATATATATATAGACATATATATATATATATATATGTATGTACTATGTATATACATATATACTATGTATATACATATATGTATACATGGGGATATACTAAGTGTATATACATATATGTGTTTAATCGTGTATATATATATATAGGAATTGATTGATCAATCAGATATGTGTGGAGATATACCAAACACATACTCAATATATCGCATCAGGATATGCCTGGATTGTGAGGTCCCGGAAGTGGAGCATCAGCTTTGAATGGGAAAAATCCCATCCAACATGGAGGTTTTCATATGAAATACTGATTTCTTCAGGACTCCCCAAGGTTTCCCAGATGCGAACCACGGTGCTGGAATATTTACCTACAAAACTGGGCCATAAAAATGGGGTAAATGTAAGTAAATATTCCAGCACCATGGAACATCTGGGTTTGAGAATGGTACATGCTGAGAAAATCAGGGTCAGCATGAACAAGTTCTTGGGATGAAATTATGGATTAAAACAAAAGCGCGGGAAGAACTTTGTCCTTTTTGTGCACCAAACAACACATGAACAAACTCAAGAGTTCTACCACGCGGTAGGAAGATCACTAAGGGGAATGTAACACGGGAATGTAAGATACACAAATGGCTGGTGAATTTAGGTTTTTTTTAATCATCCATGTGTGAAAGAAAATCTTGACCCATAACCAGAACCTGCTACAGTTGGCATTTCATTGATTGAAACCAGGCCTTACCTTTCCCCTGGCCAGAGGACCTCTCAAAATCTGGAAATCCCACCCCAAAAAATAAATGGGCTTTTTCACCATCTTTCCCATGAATGGCTTTAAGAAATTGCTGCACAGCCACTTACCCTATATATTTATGTATTTTGAAATCATTCCCCACTGAATTATTCTGAATTGGTGAAATCTCTGTGTTTCTTCTGACATCATAACTGATCACACATGTTCCTCCAGTAGATTAACATGACGACCCTGCCATCTATCGGAGCTTGGAAGATGAGTTTCCTCTAAAATTATGCGAATTCCAAGGTAAATCACACTAAATTACCATTACTACATCACCAATTAATTAATCTGATTAAATCCCACTAAATCATTATTATATAAACCACCGCTAATTTGGGGGGAAGGTAAATCCCTCTGGTTTGGGGGGTTACAAAATCCAGGTGTTTGAGACCAGCCATCAAACGCCTGCAGACTCACGAGGCTTGGCTTTCCAACATGCGCGCGACCTGAACTGTTTTTTTTTGGCGGGACCCGACCCACACAATCCCACACATGTGTAAAACTATCGTGATAGCCTCCATCAGTTGTGATATAACTCCTTTAACTATAGGTAACCCCCAACTAGTTTTAGTCGATTGAACAGAATTTACCCTAGGAACATTGGCGTATTGCTGCTGAAAAATGGGAATCAATGTTCGATGTTTGAAAATTACTTATATATATATATAAAGATAGAGTTGATTTATAACCAGGTTGATTTAAGTGTTGTGTTTTTTAGGCTAGGTTTATAACCCCGGAATCCCTCTAGGATGCCAAATTCAGGAAATAGTTTTATTACGATTTTAATATGTTTTTTGATATGATTGGAAGATATGAATTTGATACGCTTTGAATTTGGGTTTATGATTTCGATATGGTTTTGTTATGTTTTTGATATGATTGGGGTTATGGTGTTGGAATATTTGGAATGTTTTGGATGTGATTTTGATATGGTTTGGATATGGTTTATATGGTTTTGATATGGTTTGGGAACGAAGCGCCTTTTTCAGGGTTCCTGACGGGTTGGCTTCAAGAAAGGAAACGGAAACAGCCCTGGGACAGCCTTTTGGTCGATTTCTCGAGGGTTTTTGTGCTTTTGATATGATTTTGCTGTTGTTTTGATATGGTTTTGATACGATTTTGATACGGGTTTGATATGGTTTTGATACGATTTTGGATATGGTTCGGATGGGTTGGCTTCAAATCACAAGTTTGACCCGCATCAAGAATCATAACTGAAACCATATCAAAATCATATCTAAAACCGTATCAACATCATAAGTGCAAAACCATGCCAGAAACAATTCATAACAAATCATATCTGAAACGTATCACAATCATTAAAAAAAATATTTTGAAAAACTTTCATCCTAGAGACTTCGGATGTTATAAGGCTAGGTATAACAATGTTTTGATATAAATTGATGTTAATAGAGCAACAAACATGACGAGGGGGGTCGGCGCCTTCTTGTAGAAACATTGGACATACCACCCGATAGGTAAGCACTTATGATATCCCCAGATGCTTAGCTGAAAATCCAAACATGGGGACCATACATCAGATTAAACCAACATGTAATCACCAACGAACAAGGTTCTTTCACTTACATCCCTTGAGTCTGAGACCCCTGGTGACCCCTGGTGACCCCTGGTGACCAACTCCAATACTTTCCACCACATTTTTGATCAGCAACTCTCAGCATCTGATACCCCTAAAATCATCCATTAAAAAAGAGGTTACCCCTTGTAAACCAGCTATTGGGATAGCCCCATAAAAATGGAAACCCCCAGAAATATCCCATCATTAATACCCTCTGGTAAACATACAAAAAATGATGGAAAATCACAATTTCTAATGAATAAATCAACATAAATAAACTATTTCTATGGTCATGTTCGCTACCCCAAGGCTTCGCTCGGATCCAAAATCCATTTCCGGTTCCCTTGTTCCGGCCGTTCCGCCTTCCCGGAAGAGCTGAAAGCGCGAGGTCCAACTGCGTGGGAATTCCATGCCAGCCATTCCTGGGCAGCAGAAGTGTTTAAACATGAAGTCATGAAGCAACGGCTTGAACATTACAACATGTGAACCTTTGGTGTCTTAAAAACAAGGGGAAACTCGGCACTTACATGATGATCATGATGCTTGAAACGGTTTTTTTGATGTTCGTTTCAATCAAATATTTGTTTGGTTTGTCGGGAAACTGTGTTGCTTTAGTCATGTCAAAATTGGGCTGGAGATCATACTGGGCATGTGGATTCCCATGGAGACCATGGGTTTTATGGTAAGACAATTTGGAAAAGGATGGGGAACACATACAATGTGAGGTCCCCCAGTTATAACTGGGTTAACAAAGCCCCAGTAACTAGTTCGTTATAAGTACCATAGAGCATAGTTATTGGAATTATTTGCACCAACTTAGATATCGAACGGGGGCCTCACATTGTATGTATATTTATACATAAGCCCGAAATCATGTAAATATGCTCAGCTGTCACTTTTTTGTATTTCATCAGGGATTCGCAGCTCATGTAGTGGTCAGAATAACACCCGAACAATTGGCGCCAAGATAGCGGCCTGTAGGCCATGTGGGTTGAACGAACTAGTTTGCCTGCTACTGGCGGTAAACATATCCATACATATCCGATATGTATATATATATATATGTATGTAGATAGATAGATATAGATATATCTATAGATACGATATCTATGTGTATATCCCATATTTATTAAAATAATCAAAATATCTATAGATAGATGGTCTATTACAGCATGATTTATCACGGAACCCTATGAACTTCCATCTCAATCTTAGTTTACTTGTGAGGTAACCAATCCGGACTGGTGTCACGCGTAATCCACGGCAAGGGCACTGCTACCCATGAAAATTACCCTTTTTGCACAATCATATTACCCTCTGGTAATTTAACATGCCTATTTACAGTGAGTTTTCCCATTGAAAATGGTGGATCTTTCCATCGTTTTTTGTATGTTTACCAGAGGGTAAAACCAAACATTCATCAATCAATTCATCCATATGTTTGCTTCGAGTCACACGAGAAATCCCCTTGGCCCATTCATCCTGGTTTCTATCCCAGCCTGATATCTGAAAAAAATGATCGGTTCAATCCTATGTCCCTCCTAAATATCCAAACATGGAAATGGAAAATAATCCCACTAAAACAATGTTTATTACTATAGTTTATTATAGTTTCCAATTATTATAGTTTATTATAGTTTACTATAGTAATCAAACAATTGGAAAACAACATTTATAGTTTATTTACCATTGCAATGTTTGATTACCAACGGGATCCAATAATTAGGTATCTCCCTCCTTATCTGAGCTCAAACCTAAGATATCCCCATTTACATCCGGTCATTATTAATGTGCCATGGACAAGGTACATGGCTTCGACGCGAATTTCATCCCATGAAATTCCGTAAAGTGACTTAAGTTGAGGTCACAGTTCCTACACTTATGGCCCTTAAGACTTATTCAAATGGGATTGTAACTCCTGCAACTAGTTGGTTATTTTATATATATATATATTATCACTTAAATGATTTTTTTTTCGGTAGAACTCTTCTGTTAAGGGCTATAGCATGCTATCACTCCCTATGGATCCAGCCGCTGGTACTTTCTTAGGAAGTGTGACTAGGGTATGATTTAGGGGGTGAGCCGTTTCCATAGGGACTGTAGAGTTGAGGATTACCCTCTGGTAATTTAACATTTTGCTATTGAAACTGGCCCATAGAAATAGTGGATTTACCCATTGAAAATGGTGATTTTCCATAGCCATAGTTTTTTGTATGCTTACCAGAGGATTATCCACCCCAAAATAAAAAGTGGACCCCTGACCCCTCGTTTCATCCCCATGGACCGATAGTGAAGTTCTTGTCGCTGAAGCGCGCCTTCCTGACGTGTGCGGCCAGGGATATATTGGAGTGGGAGCCATCAACCCTAGTAACACTAGATAGTAACACTAGATAACAGTTCGTATTCCCAGTGCTGAACTGACCTTCTGGTAAATTAAGAGTTCGACCCTGAAAATAACCAATTCCTTAGAGGAAACTATTCTTCTTTACTGGAAGGAAATCACTGTGATTTGTTAAGAATTAATTATATACATAAAGGTTATCAATAAGAAGTTATGGTTACTAAGTCTAGGGAATATATTTTGAGAATTGGGTTAACACTGATTGACAATTGTTCACTGATGGATTAAGTAATGGATTAACAATAACCTAATGATGAAATGACAAAAATGATGGGTTAACAATAATGAATAACCCGTGATGGTGGAAGACTGGTTAACAACAGCATAATAGTTGAGAATAATTAGTAGTGATATAGTGTTTAAAAACGCTAGCTAATGATGATGAATAAAATGGTTAACAAGTGGTCATCATTATATTAATGATGATCAATAAGTTTTAATTAGTGGATTACTCATTCGATCAATCATATTTGTTTGCTTCAAATCCAACTGGTCTTGGTACAAATCCCCATGTCGACTAATAGTAGTTTGAAACCCATTTTCCAGAAAGAAACATGTCTTTCTTGGCTACATTCTTTGATTCCATGTCTTGTTGGTCGAATCTACCCTATGATCCTATGGTTATTTAACATAGCCATGGAAAATGGCCCATAGAAATAGATGGTTTACCTATTAAAAATTGTGATTTTCCATGGCTATGTTAAATAACCAGATGGTATATTATTTGTTGGTTGATGATCACAATACATCCATGTGTTGCTTGGTCAAATGTCACAAATTTTGGTCCAGATCGGCCGACAAAGATTCGGGCATTAAAAAAAAACAAAACAAAACACTTGGCCGCATGGGTATGTCTGAAACATGTGTGGTAACCTTTCAGTAGAAAACACATATGAAGAAATGAGGTTTTGAAATGTTGCATCAACTCTGTGGGTGTCTGACCAGACCGCAAGGTGTCTGACCACGACTCACAAAAAATATTGGATTCAAACTTCACTGTTGGATGCATTGAAGTCCCCACCAACAAAAACAGAAAAGGAGATCACCAGATCACCAGCAAAGATGTTGGGACTTTAACTTTGACGTTAGTTGCTACCTCCCTGGAGACGCCTATCTATACATCATGTCTTGATTCACTCACCATCATATGTAGGTCCCTAGCTTTCAATCCTGTTGGATTCGTCTACAAATGAGCTTTATTATACACACAACTTGAATGAAATTACCATTTATAGATATAGATATCTAAGTATTTCAATATATGTATATATATATACTTGTTATATAATATACTATATAAATCTATATATATATTATCTAAATGTATATATGCAAATTATAGCTAGGCTATATTACCTAACTATAAATTCTATACATTTATAGATATCTCAACGGAAACATGACGACCGAAAAACGCCTCTGCTTGCCCAAGCTGTTCTCTTCCTACGGCGCCAGACGATTCTCTCTGGGGATCTCTGGGGGCCCGAGTTGAGAACGGTGGTAAACATAGGAAAACCATAGGAAAACCATAGGTTAATGGTGATTTTTCATGGATTTTAATGGTGATTGTAATGGGATTTGATTGGGATACACTCTGGTCATTTAACAGTTTGCTATGGACCATGGATGAACATGGGCCATTGATATCCATTGATATCATTCAGTTCGATGATCTACGGCTTTTTGAAGATCGTGAATTTCCATGGCTAATTTCTCAATTACCACAGGGATCCACAGGGTATGCCTCATTTCCTATTGGCATGTAGCAGCCATGTTGTGAGGTCACTGATGCTTAAACTTCCAGTTGCAAAAAGAATCAAGATGCAGCAAAGAGAAAGACATACACCCTTGAAGCCGAAGCAGAATAGCTGTGGCAATGTTTTTGGGATCCACCATAACGGTTTCGACGTGGGGACCTGTCATCTGCCAGTTTACTGGATGAATTGGGCCCTTGGTCATCCAACTATCATTCTAGGATTCATGGCTGTACCCTCCGGCAATCAAATATGGCCGGTTGGGAAATCCCCGAACTCAACAGCGCGAATGGGAAAATCACCTACACATGGGAGGTTTTCCAGCAAGCCACGTTTGAGTACCAGAGGTATTCGACCATGACCACATGTACGTTTCCTAAAATGGGGGTACCCCGAAATCATCCATTTCAATAAGATGTTCCATTGTAAACCAACCATTTTGATCCATTTTGGGGAATCCCCCATTTTAGGAAACCTCCATATGTGGTCAAATGTGATCTCTCCGCATTTCAGGACCTGCATGAGTTTGATGGTGTGCCAATGCTTTTTATAAGATGTTTGTCAAAACATGAGACATTGACATAATGAGTAATGATGAGTAACACATCAATTTACCACCCCACCAACTATACTTTTTCTGGCTGGGTTAAGTAACAATCTAGATCACTATTATGATTGCAATGATATTTCAGCAAACTGAAATAATGTCATTTTGGGCACTTACTCATACATTCACCATTGACCATCATTTCTAGTGACATCGCGGTGAGTTTGCTGAAAAATGGATTTTGTTTTGTTCGCTAAGTATATAAGATTTTAGAACCAAGGTTGCCTAGGATTCATGCTACTTATCACTCTAGATGGGTTTTAAACCAACAAACACAACTTCAGGGGGAGGGGGCATATGTTAAAAGCAACCATTACAATCACAATTTCAATCTCTATGATAACTACAAGCTACTAAATTATCATATTACCATATTACCCTGACAATCACCATAAGCCATATGTCACTGTCACAATGCATAAACCTATATAATCTAGTATCACAGCCATAACATAAAATTACAAGATATGACATCCATAAACCACTATTCATCGCAATGAATCACCCTGAAGTAAGCACATGTAGTTACAAGGTAACGCCTCCCCAGTTCTGCTTGTTGGTTTCTAAACCCATCAAATAGTTCCATATTCACCATAAGCATCCATATAGCATCCATAAATCCAATCGGAATCATAGCTATGTTTGCCAACTTATCATAAATCAGTAAATCATAGTAAATCAGCTATGTTTGCTCCATGAAGTTCCCCATTGTTTTAAGCGTTTTAAGCGTTAAAATCACCAGCCCTTCCAGCCGGGTCGATCATCCCGGGCCTGGACCAAGTTGCGCAGCTTGGAGACGTAGTCCAAGTTGGGGTCCGGTGGAATGAAGGACTTGCCCTCCGACAGCCTCGCGATCTGTCACCGCTTGGATTCAAGGGATTTCACCACGAGTTCTCCAAGTTCAGGTCTTACTCATGTGGTTAAAATATGTTAAAATATGTTAAAATGCCATTTTTAGCCTCCAAAAAACCATGGTTCATTGAAAAACCACCCATTATCTGATGGTCCAAAAATTGATGGTGAAAAAACCAGCCATGTAGCCATGGTGATTTTCCTGGGGAAGACTCGTTGATCGACTGAGGTTCCCAGAAACCTGGGACTTCATCCTGGCCCAAAACTCACAAAGGGCACCTGGGATCCCATCCTGGATCGAGGTAAAAATGTCAGCAGAATCTCAGAGTCTGGAAATTTAACATAGAAAATTGCCTATGAAATAGATGATGATGATATTAAGCCATATTAAGCAATGATTATTATTCCCATATATTAAGTAATACTATGAAATCCCATTTAACCTATGTATATACTGATTTACCTATTAACAATGGTGATCTCCCATAGCTTTGGATGGTCAATCATCTACAAAGGGGGCCACATGTTCCATAGATCTTAGTTTAATTGCCAGGGGAGAAGATTTCAAAGCCAACATCTTCAGAGTTTTCACAGAACATAACCTGTCTTGAATATATTTAGTCTCTTGGTTTTCAATCATAATTGTTTCAGAATAGAACATAATCATTCATATTATAGCAATAATGGAAATGAATTATGAATTAATCTGATTTGTCCAGATGGCTAAAAAAACACCTGGTGACCTCGCGAAACCTTTGGATTCTCAGTTTATGGACGATGAGAATCCCTAAGCTTAATATACGGTATGTACCAAGGAGAAAATCATTGCGGGACTGAATCATCAATCATCATCTATCAGGTGTCTCAGTCATCTCCCCCCATCTTTAGTTCAAAACCACCAAATTCATATCTACATCAATTCAGAAATCCCAAATATATGGGATCCCCTAAATAAATGAATCTTAAATTTATCATTGGGATCCCTTAAACATCAAAAATTCACCAAATTTACCAATCCCAAAAAAACAGAAATCCCAAAAATATGGCATCCCCAAAATCCATCCCAAAAAAATATTTACCAATCCCAAAAAAACAGAAATCCCAAAAATATTAATTATTAGGCATCCCCAATTCATCCATCAATTCATCCATCCAAAATCCCCACTCGCGCCTGTCGGCCAGCACCGGATTGAAGACTTTCTTCAACAAGGTCACATTCTCGGTCTCCAGGCACTCGTAAGATCCCTGGAGCCGTGAAGCCAACGTCGTGCCAACGTTGTGACGAGCGGTCGTCGTTGGCCGCCATCATTTTCTGGTTTACTTTTGAGGAGTTCAAAAATACATACCAGGTATCTGGTATATATATATATATTATATCATTATTCAATTTAGTGTTATATATATACATATATATATGTAGTACAGTAATATGTGCGTATATATACATACATTACTATATGATCATTTGCACATTATATATATAGTACATCTTATTCATGCATGCATATGGATACATATATATATGTATATATTTATATGGATTTTGACGGCACAAGTGTAAGTGAGTAAAGTTGATTCTCGGATTGATCACCTTCGAAAGCCCAATTTTCCTTGGGTTTCACGATTGGTTTTCCACATCTAGGGTAGTCATTGGGGATCATGACTTCCCAATAGATCTCAATCATCCCAACTATGGTTCAGAACACAACAATAAATTTGAAACCACCAACCAAACATCATGTTACAATTTTAAGCCTCCATTAAGATTCGCAACATCTGAATAGCATCAAAAAACACTTACCCGCAAAACATCCATACCTTGAATGACAGGTTGAAGAGACGTCATGCAAGGTCCGTTTCCTCACCTTAAATTGGGATTGCAACTTTGGGGTCTTATATGGAGCCTGATGAAATTTGAAAGCAAGTTCAAATTGCACATCCTATAACCATAATTGACCATAGCCTATGCAGCATTGTGCAAATGCAGGCACTCGCACTGCTTGGATGTGCATCTTAGCGAGTAAGTACAGTAGTTTGTCTTACGCATACATGGTGGTGCCCCTCCAATTATAAGTTGCTTTACAATTCTCTTTATATAACTATAGTCTATAGTCTCCACAAACCCAAATAAGTTGGTTTATCACCCAATCTAACTATGGAATACCATAGAATTGTTCCCCATAAACCCAAACTAACTATAGTGGAGTTATGTGAACCCCAACTTAGCTATCACAAATCAGCTATGTTCATCCCATAAAAAAAAAAATCCATTTCTTGTTGGTCAAATTACCATGATTTTTCACCAGAAATTCTGTCCCATCATATACCCTCTGGTAAACATACAAAAAACGATGGAAAATCACCATATTTAATGGGAAAACTTACTATAAATGGCCATCGGCCATTTTCAATAGCTATGTTAATTTACCAGAGGGTAGCTGCCTTAAAGAAAACCCACGGTTATGAAGCGGTAAAAAAACTAGGATGACTATCGTCGAGTCCTAAGAAGGATATCAATCTGCAAAAACAACACATCTCCAGCACAATGAAGCAATTATCAGTCCTTGGAAAATAAACTCACAGTACATATTAGAATATATACTTACAAATGGATGGTAACATATATCATTAAAGAAAAACACCAGTCCATCCATTTCACCAGTAACGTACATAAAATCATAAAGAAATGAAATCTTCCGCAGCGATTTTCTCCAGATCCCGCACCTCACGCAAAGAGGACAGGAAGGCCTCACGACGGGACGTAACCAGCGGTGCAGTTGGGGTACTTTTTTTTTATGGCAAGAAGACCATAACAGAACGGGCAGTCAAGAATCTGAAGCCGAGAGTAGCTGGGGTTTAAGTCATTGAGATGGAGACGCTTCAGCAGATTAGGGCAGCAGCAAACTCTGGCAGTCAAGTGGTTTGTTAGCCAGGTTGCTGTATCGCATATACCTGGATTACCATCCTTTTTTCTTGGGCACCTATCACCTTCAGCAATATCTTAAAAAAATGCCTTTACTAGTTGGTCCCCCTATTAGACCCTGGTATCTATCAGGAGGAGCAACTATCCCTGAAAATACTGAATCAACACCAGGTAATTGTGGTACATCGCAATGTGGTTCTGTTTGAGATAGGCTATACCAACTCAACTGTTCAATCACATATTCCCCATTCAACAGCTATAACTTGGGGTGTACTAATGGTGTACCCTCCATTTTTGGACAAAGCCAATATATCCAATAGGATCCACTTATACACAATTACAAGCCACCCGACAAAACTGTTGCCAGCCGTGTTATAGTATGATTACAAGCGAACAACAATTGTCTAATCAGAATTATTATACACACAACTAACAAATAAATCAAAGGCCATATGGATCTGTCTGAAATAAACAAAAAAACATTCCATCATCTGGTTAATCACTTTCCATAATGGAAATGCCACAACTTGGTGTCAATTCCGCACTTTCAGTCACACCCATGTCTCTTACTGTTTCAACCCCATCACATCCCTATTATAATGGTTCCGCAATTGATTCCACTCCCCTTATCTGCTGGTGATACCTCCAACAAGACACAATGAATATCAATATCCCACTACATATCATGGTTGGTGGTTTTAACCGAGTCATACATGTATATATATATAAAGTTGATAAACAACTAATTAAACAAAACTCCCAATCATCCCCATCTAGACTGAAGATGATTGATGGATCAATACCAATCATCTAAATCATCTAAATCATCTAAATCATCTTAAATGAATATTGTACAATAATTGTACAATAATCCCCATCTAAACTCACCATCTAAACTCCCATGGATCATATCATTATGGTTTTCATCAATGGGCCATGGCTTCTATAGCAAACTGTTAAATAACCAGAGAGTGGAAAAAACATGAACAAATATCACTACAGTTTTTCACTATCATGGAAAAGAGATATCGCCAGTGGTAGCTTTTCATATCAAAACTCCCAAAAAATATCACCACCACAAAAAAATCACGCCTTGCCCAAGGTGATACGCCCCTCGACCGAGTCGAAGGAGGCACCTAGGTGCTCTGCCGTGCCGGGTGCCACAAAAAGTTTGTTGTGAAAATGGTGATTTGCCTATGAATCCTACGAAGAATTAGAGAAAACGGAGACTTAATGCAGTTGAAATCAGAATTTTAATCCCAAATCCAATGAATACCCAATTGTTGATGATGCATCAGCATATTTTAAAATATGGAATTCAATGAAATATCAGGATCCAATATGATTTCAACCAGTCAGCATGTGGATTTAATAAGAACACGATCAATTTCAACACTAAGGATGACTAAGCTTACTGTCCATGGTTCAACAAATTGGTATGTATATTATATATATATGCTATTTCTGTTGAGTGCTTCGCTGTACAGTGGGTGTGAAATCAAATTGGTATATATATATATAACTATGGCACTCTGGTGATAAACTCCCGTATATAGTCCCTATAACTATGGTTACATATCCGCTTATTATAAAACAACTCCACGCAAGCAGCAACGAAGAGATAAAGGATACTTAAATTCCATCTATTTTTAGTAGCCAGCTGAATTCCAACATAAATATCTACAGTAAGAAGTTTTAAACCACTGGTGTTTTATACGTGTTAAACGTGGAGTTTCAGAATGGTTTTCTCCCGTTGGGATCGATCTTCGGAATGTCAGGGCTGGTCTTAGATCTGGCGATGCCTATGCCTTGTGCGAATTGGAGATGCTTGGAGCTGACTCTCTAGCGCGATGAATACGTGATACTATGAGATCATATATATATATATATATCATATATTATATATAACTAATCCTACATATTGCTGCAAGACGACATGAGGACAGTATGTTCCATTTGTACTTGGAAGATCATCCCAATCTAAATGGCATGTCCCTGAGAACCAGAATTTTACTAAGTGTGCTAGCAGAAAAACTACAAATGTTGCGGCATGATTAATTTATGATGCTCAAGATTTTTCATCTACTATCTGGTTATGACTAACATAGCCATGGAAAATCACCATGCTATTAATAGGTAAACCTCTATTTCTATGGGCCATTTCCCATGGCTATGTTAGTCATAGCCAGAGGGTATTTTCAAATATGGTGATAATCGAAATCCTGGGGACCCCATCGAAGTTTACCACCAGTTTCACCACCGCAAAAAAATCCACCAAAATAAATATGAGTGGTGCCAACAGCTATATATTTAACAGCTGTTTCTGTTATATGAATTCCATATGTTTCCTGGTTAAATCACCATGTTTACATATCTTTGTCATCAAAACCCCAAGTTTCTGCTGATGCATATTTCCACAATCTGAAAAATTCCTGATGATTATTCACCAGTTACTAGGTGGTTTGGTCCAAAAAAAAATCCTTCGCCATGAAAAAGACACATTAAACATCAATAAATCACCATTTAATCCTCATTGAATCACCATGAAAAATCACAAACATCACCTGATTGGTGGTTTCAATCCTTCTGAAAAATGATGGAGTTCGTCAGTTGGGTCCCAACCTATGGAAAGTCATCAAATTCCATGGTTCCAGTCACCACCGGTGAATTGTCACCACCGGTGAATTATAACCCATCAGTCATTGCTGTCACACCTCCATCGAATGACCATGAAAAATCACAAACATCACCGCGTGTTCCAAGCGCCGTTTCCTGGACGCCAAGCAGCTGCAGGCTGGCATATTGGAGAAGCGTTCACAGCTGCTGAGGTCAAACTTGTCCAACGCGAGGTCCACACCTGACGGATGGAGACATATATATATATATATATACGTATAATATGTATAATATATATATACATATACATAATATATAATATGTATATATATATATACATATTATAATATGTATAATAGATATATATATATATGAAAACATGTGTATATATATATATATACATCTTAAGATTTGCTATTAGATGAAATCAGTCCTGCTTAAATTTACTAGGGACATTCATATATTTATTGTAGTGATGAATAGATAAATAGATTAGATCAGATTGGATTAGAGTAGAGTAGATTTGATTGGACTGGATTAGATAGATTAGATTAGATTAGATTAGATTTAGATTAGATTTAGATTAGATTAGATAATTAGATATATATATATATAATATTTACTATTAGATGAAATTAGTCCTACTCGAACTTACTATTAGCATTGATTGATCTTGAGTATTGTTTTTGTCTTAGGTTAGGAGTTTGAAGCCTATGGTTTTCCATGTCCTCTATATGCCTGATGGTTTATCCCCCTTGGGGTTTGAAAATTGGGAAACCACCAGCCAACTCGTGAAAAACTTGCCAAGATCAAACCTATCATCTATGGGCTTTGGCTTGCGTTGGTCACAATATGTTTGCTAGTTCAAGTGTCGGTTGAATCAACAGTATTGATGACTTTTGATGTCTTGCTTAGTATCCAAATATACTGTATTTGTTGGGTGATACTTCTCATTTACAGTCAAGTGCTGGTTGCAACATGGCCAAATTGTTGGTGAAAAAACATGATTGTTGGCCTTTTTCTTTACTCTTCCTGGTTGACATTCTCATGTTTGTTGGTTCATACAATCCCATCTCCCCGGGGCTAGTAATATCCACATTTTTCTTTGAGTCTCCCATGTATGGGTGGTACCCTCCAACAAATTAACATATATATACCCTGCCAGATAGGGGTTGGAAGACTAGTTTCCACTATAAATTGGTCATGTTCAGGGTCTATGTTAATGTACCAGGGGGTATTTCACTGGCTAAATCAATATAATTCACACGCTCAAAAGAAGGTTGAATTGAGATGCTTCCTAGTTAGTCATCCTGGAGTAGATAGAATATGACAATTTCCAACAACCCTCACTAAAATGGGAATATGTTTGAACATCTTAAATTTCTAGCTTCTGTACTTCAGGACTATTGTAAATATACACCAATACATACAAATATAAAAATAAATAAAACTATATATTGTATACAATTATATACATATGTATAGCATTCTACATGTCTATGTAGATACTGGTAGCAACCTCAAAAGAAAGAAAAAAAAACGTCATAAATCATTGTTATAGCTGGCTGGAATATCCACCCCATCGCCCCGGAGCGGACTTCAGAGATGTTCCCCATCTGTTCCAAAGGGTTTTCCCATGACATTTTCAGAGATATGTCTTTGGACATCGAAAAATGCTAGTATGTATATAATATCAATCATACATAATCATCTCCATCTCATCTCAGGTATATCCTAAACTTATATCATTATCTCCATCTCATCCATCTCATCCCCATATCAAAATCCTGCACCAAAAGGATGGTAGAAAGTCTATACCCTCTGGTAATTTAACATTGCTATAGAAAATCAGCATTTTTAATAGGTAAACCCATCTCTATGGGCCATGGCTTCCATAGCAAACTGTTAGTTTACCAGAGGGTAGCACAATCAAATCCCATGAAAATCACCATTAAAATCCATTCAATCACCATGAACCTATGGTTTTTCCTACGGTTTTCTTATGTTTACCACCGTTCTCAACTGGTTTTCTTGCGCAAGCATCAGCCTTGCGGCTGGTCCTTCTGGGTGAGCTGAAACCGCTGCGGCATGAACCTCGCTGGATTTCCAGGCTGAAAAATATGGGGATTGAAGCATCAAACACGAGGATTTCATGATGGCAGAACTAGGCCAAAGTTCTGTTGGTAGACATAACTAGTATAGCAAAAAATAGCAAAAACAACAAACATGGAGAAAGCAAAAAAAAATGGCCCAGAACATTTATATACATGGATTTATAACACTGTCTGAATCTTGGATTTATGGTAGATATCGCCAAAAATGGAATGATGAGCATAAAACAACAAACATAACTGGGTGGGGAACTATATTCTGGGAATGTTTCAGGATCACAATTGTCAGCAAAAAAACATAGAATATGTCTAAACAAACCGATGTATGTAAATGGATGTGGAATATATATATATATAGTAAACATCTAGCAATTGTGTAACTAAACATAAATATATACAAGTCGATATAAGATCATATAAGTGCTATATAATCATATACTTGAACAATATATCATGTATGTATGTATGTATATATATATATATACATACATACATACATAGCATTACATAACTATTGTATACTTCCAGCAATTAATACAGCGTGAACTCTGGTTGGACAATTTGAGACTTCAATCGTTTACAACCCCTGCTTTTTAGGTGGTCAGTCAAGTCACGCCGAAGATGTTTAGTTTTGAACTTACTGAGGGTGGAAGAAATCCTGCACCACCAAAAGGATGGTTGAAACCCTATAAATCATGGGATAAACCACCTATCAACTGGTGCAGGATTTCTACCATCCACAGTATTTTGCTTAATATCTTTAGTATTCGATATGGTTGGCTGAAAACTATCAGTATGAAGCTGGTTGAATCAACCTAGTTGATCATAAAACGACCCTTGGCCACGCTCAATCATTGGATGTCTATGAGTTCGTTGCTGATATGGTCACTGTGAGAGTCACTCCGTATAACAGTTCTGTGCTGTTAGTAAATCAACTGGATTTCAAGGGGATCTTATTGTTGTTTGGTCGATGTTTCAAGTGGTTCTGTTAAAAGCCCCCCAGGGTAATTTAACATTAGGGTATTGTGGAAAATATACAGTAAGTATAAATATACCTATATAATTAAATATAACTAGGGTAATGGTGGCCGCTTTGAACACTTAGGAGATTTTGGAAGAATTATTCTACCAGGGCCACAGCCAGAACCAGTGCATATCTGCCAAATCACATTGGCCGGCCAGTGGGGCCCAACTGCATACCTGGCAACGAGAATCGTCGGTGACCAGTGTTGAACTTTTACGGAGGAACCAAGGCACGGTTGGATGTGAAAGAAATGACAATTGTATAGATAGGTGTATCTCTATGTGCCTATATTTATCTACATGATGAAAATATACAGTAAGTATTAAGTATATATATAAATATATTGTGTATTTTTCCACTGCTCTAAATTACTGCAGAGATAAGGTCCAACCATGCAAAAGGGCAACAGAAAACATCACATGGACAACATGGCAATACCGCCGTTGGGTGGCACAAATTCAGGTTAAGTTGATAATGTTTGACAATTGTTAAAACCATGTTAAAACCATCCAGTTTGGTTGCAAGGTGGTGCCCTCCAATTAGCCAACTTGGCCTATAACTACGCTGTTGAATTTATGGATACCCTCTGGTAATTTAACATAGCTATTGAAAATCACCATGCTATCAATGGGTAAATCCACTATAAACGGCCATTTTCAATAGCTTTTTGTGGGTTTACCAGAGGGTATATCGGACTACAGTATACAGTTCGATCGGATGAATTTACAACCAACAAACATAACTGGCCACCTTGCAACTACCATAATTCTGGTGGAAAAAAACACCACTCCCGTTGAATTGGAGAATCGATTCTTTTTTTCAGCCGTCCCAAATACCAGTGATAAGTACAAACATAACCCCATTTATAGAATGTATTAATATAATCCCATAGAAATAACCGGTTATAGCTAATAAATGGCCATACCATGTCATGTGGAGATAAGTCCTCAATAATTCTGGTTACCCTCTAGTAAACTAACATAGCTGTGGAAAATAGCCCATTTATAGATGGTTTACCGGTTTACCCATTAAAAATAGTGATTATCCATACTTGTGTTAACTTACCAGAGGGTAGTATGTCCTCTATGTGAAATATCCCAAGTATCAATTGGTCAGAAAAACTCTAATAAGGCTATGAAAAATAGCTTTGATGGTTGTTTATTAATTATCGTTATCCCAGTCATTCAATTAATTTATAAATGGTCGCGAGAAATGATGTGTTTTGTTTTTTTTACATCTAAGATTATCCCATTTAATTATCATGATTTATCCCATTATCATACAATGTGAGGCCCCCAAGATAGCTAAGTTGGTTTATAACTCCAATAACTATGGATTATGGTAGGGCTTATAAACCAACTTATAACTGGGGGGCCTCACATTGTACTTCATATTATGGTTCACAAACTGGATCCAGCCGTAGCTTCCTTTTTAGGAAGTGTGACTGGGGGATCCAGGGGGATAGCGTACTGTTACCTTTGTAAACTCATCATATTCACTACCCGGCCTGGTTAACTTTTAATGGTGATTTTTCATGGGATTTTCATGGTGATGTTAATGGATTTTAATGGTGATTTAATGGGATGTAATGGGATTTAAATTATTTAAAGATGGTTTAGCTAAATCCTCATTTACAGATTTAAGGTTGAACTTATATAATAGGAATAAATAGGGTTTAATGGGATTTGATTGGGATATACCCTCTGGTAAACTAACATAGCTATTGAAAATCACCAATTTAAAAGGTAAAACATCTATAAATGGTCCGTGGCTTCCATAGCTATGTTAAATTACCAGATGGTACTGGTTGTACATCCCATTACCCGATAACATGGATAGTTCTATATATGATTCTATTATATATTCCACTACCAATCTGGCAATTTCACTAATTACCCATTTGGATCCATTTGGTAAGTTCCTTAAGTGGGTATATATTCCACAACATGTGGGGATGGGTCAAAACCTATTAGCACCATATTTGTGGGGAATAACATGGAATAACCGAATAACATCGAATAATCATTCATAACCCAACTCTAGTGTTTTAGGGTACCATCCGGGTATCAGGCTAAAATGACTGCCAGTTATGGATCAAATGGGGAAACCCCATAACCCCTGCTGCCCGCCTTGGATGTCAAAGCGAGCTGGTTGCGTCAAGGCGGCTCCTGTCGAGCCACGTGGCGGAAAAGCCATGCGGAAAAGCCATAGGGAAACCTTATGATCATCTATAGCTGATGTTCATTGATTTTCGAGATCGAAGTGTCAAAAACATGTTTCAAACAAGTTGACTCAAAAAACAACGAAACCATAGGAAAAAAAAGGAACATAACATAACAATACATAACATAACCATAGGAACCATAGGAACCATAGGAACCATATATGGATTATTAATGTCTCATGGGATATATAGGCAACTGAATCCATGGATTTCATGGGCCGAGAACTGGGTCGGGATTTCATGGGTCTATTTAAGTTGGCCATTTGAAGAGTGATGATCCATGATTAAAAAATGGGGAAAATCCCGGAAAATTCAGGGGTATTTCAGATTTTCAGCAAATTTCAGTATTTCAGATTTTCAGCCAAAGCCAGTTATGACGTTTCAATGTGTGTTTGACTTTCCAAGCTTTTGGTGACGACCGAATTTCAACTCACATGATTTGAACATCAACATCTGGGGGTATTTTCACACGTTGCAACCACTGAAACGACACACGGTAGTGTACCTGTCACTGTGCTTAAGTGCTTAATCGTCAAACAACGTTTGGGACGTTTGGGTATCAATTGAAGACCCTTAAATTCCACAAATGGATGAAGTTTATATTCAGTACTGATTGCCCCACTAATCACTATTACTACTCAAGCCCACGATTTCTACTCGACTGGATCCTGAGGGGATCTTCTTGTTTGGTCTGAAGATGTGAACCAGGACCCTCTGTTAAACTAACATTTTGCTATGGAAAATCATCATGTTTAATGGATAAATCAACGAACTAAATGACCAGTTTCAAGTTCGCAAAGCGTTAAATTACCAGACCCACGACAGGACGGCGTTTCACAGGGAAAACACGTTAAACTTTCCGCTTTCAGATTTGGGAAGAGCTAGGATCTGGGAAATTCCCAATTTGACCATGTTCATCCGCATAGGCAAATCTCATGATTTACTTACTGCATGGACACATCTGGGAAGCGCAAAAAAAAACATGGGGAAAATCTGAAAACGGGAAAATATGGTAACATCCTTATTGTTTGGCAATCTTCACTTAGAACATTTATCAACATCCCGCATGGGAAAATCTGATAAAATCACACATGCTCATCGGAAACAGTCAAGAAAAATGACAATGTTCATAGCAAAAAACTGGTAAATTCCCAAGTTTTCATTGGAACATCTGGTAAAAAACACCATTTTCATCAGAAAAAAACCTTGGAGAATACCGTCCAAGGCGTTGTGCTCCTGGCAAGGCTCCAGGCATGCCACTGGGCACCATTCCAGCAGTGGGCAGCGATGGACGTTGTGCCAGCTGGAAACGGTCTAGGCCTTGGCCGGACGAGGATTTTGTCAAGGTCTCCGGGGATTTTTTTAATGGATTTTAATGGTGATTTAATGTTTGGGAACCCTCTGGTATACTTTTATAATGGTGATTTTTCATGGGATTTTAATGGTGATTTAATGTTTGGGAACCCTCTGGTAAACTTTTATAATGGTGATTTTTCATGGGATTTTAATGGTGATTTAATGTTTGGGAACCCTCTGGTAAACTTTTATAATGGTGATTTTTCATGGGGTTTTAATGGTGATTTAATGGGATTTGATTGGGATACCCTCTGGTAATGACTAACAGTTTGCCATTGAAAATGGCCCATTGAGTTAGTGTATTTACCTATTCCACTAATGTTAATTGGTAATTTATCCATAAACAACTGCTAATTGGGATTTCTAATTTTAATTTAAATTAAATTATATGTCTCTGGTAATGACTAACAGTTTGCCATTGAACATGGCCCATTGAGTTAGTGTATTTACCTATTCCACTAATGTTCATTGGTAATTTATCCATAAACAACTGTTAATTGGGATTTCTAATTTTAAATTAAATTATATGTCTCTGGTAATGACTAACAGTTTGCCATTGAAGCCATGGCCCATTGAGTTCAGATTTTTTACCTATTCAAGATGGTGATTTTTCCAGTTCGCAAACTGTTAATTTACCAGAGGGCAACCTGAAATGTTGAGCCAACTATTGGAATGATTCATGGTAATTCCCCCAATCCAATTCCGATCATTCCGGGGAGAATGGTGTTTCCTGCTGCTGTGGGGCCCCCAAGTTATGTTTGTTGATTTAGAAAAACCCCCAAACCAGAGTTCTTAATGCTATAAAACCGAGTTAACCAAGTTATAAACCAACACGGCTATCGTTTGGGGGCCACACCTTGTATGATGTTTGGTGTTTATTTGGTGCTGATATGGTATTATTTCTATTGTGTTTATCTTGTATTGGTTTGAATTGTGTTGTGTTTTTAAGATGCTATATATATATATGTATATGTATATTTGAATATGGTGTTGGTTTGTTTTGAAATATGTGTTTGTGTGCTATATGGTTTTGTATAAGTGTCTGTTGGCCTCTCTCTCTATATATATATTATATATATTGTGATTATTGTTACTACTATTATTATTAGTTTTATTTTTATTATTATTATAGTCGTCAAGTGGGCTGGACGGCATCAAAAAATGGATGGTTTATGATCAAAAATATGATCCAACTTGGTTTCTGGGAAATCTGGGGAACATATAGGGGGAGTTAATGGTAATATGATGGAATTGAACAACAAACATGGGGAAAGACGAGTTCAATTGTCGCTTGATGGTGATGACGAGTTCAATCAAACAATGACAAATCCTCATATGAAGTGTTAGGCTGATGTTGATATATCTTTACCCAACCAAAATTATCAATCATGTGTTCATCATCAATCAACCAGGCCACCTTTTGGGCTGCGAAATCTGCGTTTCGGACCCAGGACCCGTATCGTCCATGGTTGGGTTGCGTGTGAACCCAATCCAAAACAAAGGGTTGAACAAAAACCACTGGTTGGTGGTTGAGCCAACCCCTCTGAAAAATATGAAGGTCAGTTGGTATTACCCATAGGATCCATGTATGATATATATGCTAACATTGGGGGTATATTAATGGTAAATGTTACCATATATGGCATACATGGATCCTATGGGTTATTATTCCCAATATATGAAAAATATATAATGTTCCAAACCACCAACCAGAACAACACTTCATGTGGCAATGTGTCAAGCCACTAGTACCATTGTACAATAGTTGAAATCAAAATAGCTGGTGTCCCGGTGTCATCCAAGTATGCTGTTGATCAACATGGATGAGCTGTAATCATCAACAGCCCGAAACGGAGATCATGGAGACTCACTTCAGTGGCACTATCCTGGAAATATCTAGAATCAAATGGATGAGCTGGGCAAACAACATGTAGCCAACAAATTCTGAAAATCTACACACATATGTACAAGCAAAAAATATATATATACATATATATATATATACATATATATATATGTATATATATATTGGGGTAAATTATAATATTTCACTCATCTGAATTAAGGCCATTTGGGGATGATGTCCCTTACTAACCATGATTCCAGTGAGGTCGCAGTGAGGTCGCTATAATTTACGCATATATATATATATGTATGTATATATATATATATATATATGTATGTATATTACATATATATATATATGACATATTTATGTATCTATGTTATCTTTCCTTACCCAACTCTATTCCTGATTGATCTATTGATCCATCCATTCATCCATCATAAACCCCACAGATCCTCACTGTCCGACTCTGGCGCCCCGGGGCCCCGGCCGAACTGCACACCGCCATAGATGGCATGCAGGTTGTTGTTCAGCCCGGTCTGTACATCGCGCAGCTTTCCACCTCCCATGGGTATCCATGGGTCAACAAAAACTGGTGCGTGCTAAACGTAGGGAATGGATGGGAATGGATGGGAATGGGATTATTATTGTAAGGATTATGGATCATTCCCTCATTACTAAGCACAAGTAAGCAAAACATGCGCCCAAAAAATGGAGGGTGTACTTGAATTAAGCTCACCTCATCTCCCATATGAGCCGTGCTTATTTTTTGGGTTCTGTGAAAGCCTTTTTGTTCTACACAAAGGCTTCGCAGTTTCGATCCTGAACATAAACCAGTGGTTTCTGCCATCATATGTCCAAATCAGAAACCTGGAACATCATCTTCCAAATCATAAAACTTAGCGTTGTTTCTTTCCATCTTGCCATCCCCCTTAGGCAATGAATGGCTTGACATCGCAACAAAACCCTCCGGTCAACAAACTATAGCCATGGAAAATGCTCCGTTGATGGGTGATGTTCCTATCTCAATTCGTGATTTTCCATAGCTATGTGAGTTTGCCAAAAGGTATTTTGGTTTATGTTCACCCATCACCCATCTGACTAGTTCGACATATCTAGCCCTAAAAAAAAACATTCTCAGCCCTGTAAAACGTACCAACTTGGTATCCCAAAATATCCTGGTTCCTGGAAGGACAACCAGTTATCACTTTATATAGTCCTGGGACCATTCACCGAGAAGTTGGAACACTATGACATTTACATCCATTTACTGTACCATGGTGTGTGTTTTCAATGACTTTTCATGTGGGTGTCATTTGAGAACTTCATCATACGGTGGATGGTTGCGAAATCCTGCACCAGTTGGTATTTGGTTTATCGCCTCATAATCTCATGATTTACAATCTTTCATAGTTACCTAACGGTTGCCAACTGGTGCGGGATTACTTCCATCCACAGTATCACCCAATGTCTTTTCCACATTTTTCCAAATATCCTAAGTGGTGGTGATGGACCCCCCGCAAATATGCTGGTTGGTTTACAATTGAACATCATAATCATCATATAGAGATATCTCTTCCATAAACCTTGGTTATATAAGTTTTTGTTTATATGAATGAGATATCTACCATCAAATCTGTGTTAGCCTCACAAAACAACTTTGCTAAGCAGGGAGCAGCACCTTATCGGATATTGTTGGTGATATTCCCATGATATCCTCATGTTTGTTGATTACCATCCGGTTATTTAACATAGCCATTGAAAATCACAATTTTTAATAGGTAAACCATATATTTCTATGGGCCATTTCCCATGGCTATGTTAAATAACCAGAGGGTACATTCAGTTCATTATTGTTCATTTGACATTGATCATTCCCACATTTTTGGTGCATGTTGGTGATCAGTTTTCGTGGCCTTCTGGGTATCTAAAGAAGTTCCCACATCTTTGGTGATCCGCTCACTTTTCGCAACAAAAATCAGTTTCACCACACCTTAACCGCGCGTGGCAAAACGTTTTGTTCCGTGCCTTGCAACTGTATCCGCGAGTTGCCACGCATATTCCACAGCTGTGGGATTTCCGGATGCGCCTGGCCGATGTGGGTCAAAATGGAAGACCGATGTGGGGGACCACAAATGGAAATTAACCATAAATGGAAATGTCTAGTTTAGTTTTTTCACCATCCAATTTAACTGGGGTACCTTTTGCTAATGACTTGACCCATACCCAAATGCTGGGTTTATGGTAGAGCCTTTTTGTATCAGCAATTCAATTCTGAAAACATGATTTTGTTTCAGATTGGGCTCGAGAAGTCATCCTCAAATCATAGCCCTGTTACCCGGCCTGGTAAACGTTAACAAAAAACTATGGTTAAAATCACCATGCAATCAATGGGTAAATTCACTATAAATTGATATAAATTGCCATTTTCAATAGCGAACTGTTAGTTTACCAGAGGGTCTAGCCCTGGTTTTTTTCATGGTTCTATCATTGTGCCATGGCCGCCTCAGGAGTGGTGTTGCTCACCAACTCATCTGCCAAGTCGTACCTTCCCAAAAAATGGTGGGATATGGTGGGATGGTGCAGCAGAACATAGTGATTTAAGCAGCACATAGCAGTAGGTTGAATGTTTACCTGAAAACATTGGGATTTCAACCCAAATAAAACAAAAATTCATAAGGATAAATTCACTCCCACCGTAACAAGAACCTCCTGATATAAATGATGACCCAATACATACTGACATTAATCCTGACATGAACTATGGCATATGTTTTGCCACGTATTCGGATGTTAATTCAGCTAATTTTGACATTTACTCTGCCATATACTCTGACATGTAGTCTGATGCATATTGTGACATATAGATCTCCTGGCTATTATGATTCCGGACACATACTCTGACATGCATATTGAGATGCTTTTCGACATTTAATTATCTTTATATTCTGACAAACAATAATGCCAATATATAACTATAATTATGTATACATATACCATGCATCATATCAATCATAGTCATATACTAGTGATATCTATATCTCAATATATATATATATATACATAAATATAATCAATAGATATACATATATATATATACACTACATATATTTCATGATATATCTAATATTATAGATACCCTCTGGTAAACTAACATAGCTATGGAAGCCATGGCCCATAGAAATAGATTGTTTACCTATTAAAATGGTGATTTTCTATAGCAAACTGTTAAATTACCAGAGGGTATTTTCATACATACACTACATATATATAGTTCATGAATTGTCATGATATATCTAATGTTATATACAATGTGAGGCCCCCCAGTGATGTTAGTTGGTTTATAAGCCCCAGTAATTAGTTCGTTATAAGTACCATAAACCATAGTTATTGGAGTTTTTTGAAACAACTTAGCTATCGAAGGGGGGCCTCACATTGTATGATATACATGTAACTTGCATGATATATCTAATATTATAGATACCCTCCAGTAAATTAACATAGACCCTGGTAGATAGGGGTTGGAAGACTAGTTTCCACTATAAATTGGTCTATAAATTGGTTATTTTCAGGGTCTATGTTAATTTACCAGAGGGTAATAGATAAACCATATGAAAAACCAGAGGGTAAGTCGCGTAAGTCGCGGGCCATCTGGGATCCACCGAGATCTTGGCATCCACCAAGTACTTGGCCATCACGGAGGCCTGGCGTTTTGGACGGAGATGCCATGCGATTAATCGAACTAGCAATATGAGATATAGTATTTACTATATATATATATACAGTATATATATATATAGTTATACACATATAGTGTACATATATATATATATGGTATATAATATATATAGTTATACATGTATATGTATAGTTATACATATATATATAGGTGTCAAGAAAATATATCCACCATCTGGTATGGGTCAAAATAAAAAAAATGAACAGAATCTGCATTTTTTGGGGCCTTAAATTTCTGACCATTTGTGTCAAAATCTCCACCATCTCTGCAGAAACTCATATTTAATCATAAAAACAAATACCTGGTTGGTGGTTTACCAACCCCTCTGAAAAATGATGGAGTTCGTCAGTTGGGATCATGACATTCTCAATATATGGAAAGTCGTAAAATTCATGTTCCAAACCACCAACCAGATACTCACCATTGGAGTCTTTGCATTTTTGGATGGATGTTCCCATTTCTTCCTGATTCGGATATGGCTTGAAAGCCTAAAAATTGAATGGCTCAAATCCAAAAAAAAAAGACCACCCCATCTGCGTTCCGGTCTCAAATTTTGTTCCTATATAAATAACCAGGGTTACAATAGCGATGGTAATAACAATGCTTATACAGGAATGACCCAAATTTCAATAGTGAAAGGGGTATATACCAGCATACAACTTCTTAAATTAGTCGCGATCTGCGATGCATATCCACACTCGGATCCTCAGGTATGGCCAAACCAAGGTAGGGGGGAACTCTACCGCAACTCCGTTGCTATGTTGCTCTCCAGATCATTTGGACAACCTATTTGAACGGAAAGATACAATATGATATGATATATCTATAATATTGAATATACTATATATCAATATGAAATATATTTGTAAATGCATGTTCCAGGAACGTTCATTTTGTGATACAATGGCAGCCGGCACAGAAATTTGACACTTGTTGATCCTCCATGATTCTGTTCTTATCTCTGCGCCGTACCATTTCTGTTTCAAAGTTTTGCTAAATATGTGTAGCCCTTTATTGACAATTAAGAAAAAATCAATTGTCTGTAAGTATATGTTACCAACTAATATGTATGTACATACGTATATTGTATATATACACATAATCAATCATAGTTGTATGTATATATATATAGAGATATACGGATAAGAAAATACAAATTACTATAATATAAATAATGTGCATGTACATACATAACATAATATAGATACGGATAAGGAAAACAAAAACATATTGATACCCTCTGGTAAACGTTTACATAACCATGGAACATCACCATTCATAATCGGTAAATAAACGAACTATGGAAAGTCACCATATAAACAGGATTGGGACCCCCAGTTATAAGCTGGTTTAAAAAACATTATATTCCCATTAACTATAGTTATATCTACCATAAACCATAGAATTCGGCCACTTTTTTTAGGCAACTAGACGCTATGTTCTGGGTCCCATCCTGTAGTTTTTTTGGTACGGTAACTACATTTAAATATACGGACTTTTGAATATAGGAACTGGTATTTCATACTACCTCCGGGGCCTCGCGGTCTGGCCTGCCCTCCACATATTGATATTTCTAGGTCTATCATTGGATTTTTTGAGGGAACAAAAATCACCGGAAACCATGTAGCTTTTTGCCATTCAATGTGGGGGGTTCTGTAGCTTTTTGGTATGTTTACCAGAGGGCATACCCTTTGGCAATCAAACGTGACTTGTTGGCCAAATATCACCATTGATGATGACTCATCTCCATAAATCCCCACATCATACCCACAGAAATCCACAGAAATCCACCGAAATCCCAGGGATTTCCCATGGTTTTCCTATGTTTTCCCATAGTTTTCCTATGTTTTACCATGGTTATCCTATGTTTTCCCATGGTTTTCCCATGCTTTGCCTTGGCCAATTCCCGGAGATGAAAGATCACCTAGTTCAAGCCGAGCCGGAGATACGTAGAACTTCCAATTCTTATCATGAGAAATATACAGTTGTTGGGATAAGAAATACAATGTTTAATCGGGTTTAATGGGATTTGATGGGATTTGATTGGGATATTACCCTCTGATTTAAATTACCAGAGGGTATAATGTTTGGGAACCCTCTGGCAAACTTTTATAATGGTGATTTTAATGGATTTGAATGGCGATTTTAATGGTGATTTAATGGGATTTGATTGGGATACCCTCTGGTAAACTAACAGTTTGCTATTGAAGCCATGGCCCATTTAGTTCGTTGATTTACCCATTAAAAATGGTGTTTTTTTAATAGCTATGTTAAATCACCAGAGGGTATAATCTTGGAAGAAATAGAATGTATATCTAATTAGGCGTCTACATCGAAACTTAATCTTCCTTGGAAGAATTAGAATGTATATAATTAATCTAATTAGAATATATTGGGAGTTAAAAATATAATGGGATATAATTATATACAATGGGAAATGAACCCAACAATTATTTATATTGAACATTTCAAATTTCTATTTGTTGGGCTTCTACTTTGAAAAACAATGTAATTCATACAATGTTGTTGTTATCTAATTAGATATCATGGGAACTTCATTGGATATAATATTGGGGAATATAATCGATATACTGTTGTTGTTATCTAATTGAACAACAGTAACATGTAAAATACATGCAATCTACAAAAAAAACGACAATCATGGTGCATGATGGATATGATAAGATATGATAAGTAGATGATACAACAAAAACAACAACAATAGGTAGAGGATTCAGCATGGAACTACAACATCATACCATTTTCTGCTTGGTGATTGAGCCAACCCCTTTGAAAAATGATGGACTTCGTCACTTAATAAAGATGACATTCCCAACTGTTTCTGGAAAGTCATAATCCATTCCATGGTTCCAGTCACCACCAACCAGATACTCACCATTGGAGTCTGTCCATTCTTGGATGGATGGGTGGATGTTCCCATTTCTTCCTGATTCGGATATGGCTTGAAAGCCTAAAAATGGCAAATAGAGTCAAGTGGGGCTACTATTCCAATATCAATGGCTTCTGGTTCTTACCCAGTAACTTGAGTGCCTCATCCACTGTGAGGGATCCCTGGTTCTCATGGGAACCGATCACCTGACTGGGAATGCAACTCCTTCGATTTCCACCATCGATTTCCACCAACCAACCAACCAACTGACCTTAATCATAGTGGAATCATCCATGTATCCCATTAAAACTTCCATTGAAACACCAGGATTTCCTATGGTTTTCCTATTGTTTCCCATGGTTTTCCTATGGTTTCCCATGGTTTTCATATGGTTTCTGGTTATCACATGGTTTTCCTATGGTTTCTGGTTATCATATGGTTTTCCTATGGTTTTCCTATTGTTTCCCATGGTTTTCATATGGTTTCCCATGGTTTTTGCCGCCAAGCAACGCTCTTTCGCTCGGCAATGAGGTCGAAGTGGCGGCTGAAGGCATCCGCAAACCTGGACCGCTGGCGCAACGAGAGGAGTGGTGGTTGCCACGTGGGCCGATGTTTGAGTAGGTTAAATAACATGTAGAATATATCTTATTATCATCTATGTACTTGATATTTATGGTGGTTTTAACCATCTTGAAAAATATTAGTCAGTTGGGATGATTATTCCCAATATACGGAAAAATAAACATGTTCCAAACCACCAACCAGATATATACATATATATTGTATGACTAGGTGAACATGGTATTGTATGGTATATACGGTATATGTTTTTTGATATGAGTAGGGTTATATAACATCACTGGATTTGTTTAAGGGAAAATTGAAACCGGAAACCCTATAATATTTCATGGGAAAATAAATGGTTTCCTGTAGATTTTCCCTTCAACCAATCCAGTGAGAACATGGATCTAAACATTTCCTGACACTTAACCCCCCAAATCATACCCCCAAATCATACCCCCAAATCATAAGCCAAACACTTCCTAAGAAGGTACATGGATCCATAGGGAGATAGATATATATATATATATCATATGGTTGATTGAATATATATATATAATGGATGATGTATATGTATGATATCATTGTATGCAAAAGTGAAGAAATCATGGGATATGCTAAGAACTAATCATCTAACCAACAATATGATAAGGTAAATACTAAAATGATTACGTACATATATATATCTATTTACCTATCTATCTATCTATCTAGCTATCTATCTATCTATCTATCTATAGATATTGATATGAATAGAACGCCTATAAACTACAATTTGTTCACCCCAATGTTTCAGTTAGTCTGTCAACCCATATGATACCCATATGACATCATATGACTATAGCCAAAACATTACGATATAGTTGACATCATATGACTATAGCCAAAAAATACAATATAGTTAACCACATTTTAACCATTCTCAACATGACCTCTTAATCTCCCCTCCATAGGAAGTGGGAAGCATCTTGCCCCAGAAGTTGGACCTACAGTTATGGCCCGAAATACAAAGTCAGCAAGTCAGCAAGTCACCCACTTATGGACTAATAACCCCATTCATACTGGTTGGTGGTATACCTACCCCTCTGAAAAAAAAATGAAAGTCAGTTGGGATGATGACATTCCCAACTGAATGGAAAGTCATAAAATTCCATGGTTCCGGTCACCACCACCCAGTAATTGGATGGCTAATTAACCTGGTTACCCTCTGGTAAACTAACATAGCTATTGAACATTGCCATAGAAAGTTCGTTGAATTACCCATAATTAGAAACTCACGATTGATGCCAATTCTTGGATTTATGGCATACCTTTCACATATGTCTGGGTAAAAGCCATAATATTTCACTATCCTGAATTGTTGGGCCATTTGGGGATGATTCCCCTACATCTAAACCATGATTCCCAGGGTTCGGGAGAACAGGGTTCGGTCGCAACATAATTTACCCAGATATATGGAGGTTTCCATTTTAATGGGGCTACCTCTACAATGTGAGGCCCCCAAGATAGCTAAGTTGGTTTATAACTCCAATAACTATGGTTTATGATACTTATAACTATAGTTACTGGGGCTTAAAAACCAACTAACATCACTGGGGGGGGCCTCACATTGTAGTTATCATCCATTTCACATATGGATGTTCCATGAAATAAACCATCCAGGTTTTGGGGTACACCTTGAAACTGATAGCTGCATCAGCCACGTCCTACTCATGAAAAAAATGTGTCACCAATCAGGAAAAAAACAGCAATTGCTGAATTCATGGTTTTTATGGTTTTCCAGTGCATGGGTCATAGATAAAAACTATACTAACTATACAACCATGGACCATGCAGGTAATATCATCCCTATTTCACAATCTACCAAATTGTATTTTGGACCTACTTATGTGTGTCCTGGCCCAAGCAGTGACTCATTGACTCATTGGTTCTTCAAAGCGTTTGGACTGCAAACTCGACAAATACAAGACTTGACCTATATATATATATTGCTAACATCATGAAAAATCATGAAAATCTAGGGATGCCTCTCGAGGTGCTTTGGGGAACATCTGTATATATATATATATCGATTTCTATGGATAAAGTACACAAAATTAGAGAGATATGAGAGATTCGTCCATCCATGGCTCAATCTGAGTTCACTCAAATACCAAGAGTTAATTAATTGGATAACCAACGGTCCACCTGGATTAATTCCGTTAAGTTAGGGGTCATCAAATACCAATATTCAAAGTTCCTTCAGCAGGATGGCTTTATCAGCAACATCAGGGAGGAATCGGACGGATTGAACCTGTTGACTCTGCTGCTTGAAACAACTTGGTAATGGGCCGCGAAACCGGGTATAGAACCAATCAAATGGGACAAAAACACAACCAGAAGGCAGTGGGAATTTCAGGCCGGCAAAATGGAGCTGCTGTACTATGTAAGGCAAAAATATGTGGAGCTATTTGGGATATTCCCTTGAATTTGGCCCTTGTATGGTAGTTACCTGGTACCTCCAATAGATTGCTAAATCTGAAATGACCATTGAAAAAAAATACTAAACACCTATGCTCCTATGTTAATTATCTGTCTATGTTAGATTAACACTAAGATAGACCTAAGAAAATCTTACCCTAGGGGTAATCTGGTTGCGGGTCAAAATTGAGTACCAACAAAAACTATTGTTGGATTGTTGATACATCAAAAAATCGAATGAAAAAGGTTTATTGAATGGTTAATACTAGTACTAAAAACTAATCTGGTTGGTGGTTTCAACCCCTCTGAAAACTATCAGTCAGTTGGGATGATTATTCCCAACTGAATGGAAGGTCATAAAATTCATGTTCCAAACCACCACCCAGTAATTGGATGGCTAATTAACCTGGTTACCCTCTGGTAAACTAACATAGCTATTGGACATTGCCAATTAGTTCGTTGATTTACCCATTAAAAATGGTGATTTTCCATAGTTATGTTAGTTTACCAGAGGGTAATATCCCAATCAAATCCCATTAAACCCTATTAAATCCACTATATGTTCGTGGTTTTCCATGTTCGTGGTTTTGCAAGTCTTTCATTTTGATCCCAACCGTTCACAGCGCCACAGCGCCTGGTGAGTGGATGGTTCTTGCTAGTGATGGCCTTGTCCTCCAAGCCCTTGCTCGTGACCTCGGTGGTTTTTTTTAAGGGTGGCCCGGCAATGACAAATAATATGGTTATTTACATGGATATTACCCTATATTTAACCAAAACAACATATGGATATAGAAATCAAATGTATAAACAGTAGCAATGTACAAATACAATATTTTAGACAATATGGAATTTTAACCAAAATATGGAAATATGGCTATGAATATAGAAATCAAATCAAATGTACAAACATAGCAGTTTCACCAACCGAAAAACAAGAAAAAACTTGGGCCAGCAATAAGAATGATGGTCTCAAGGTATGGAATTTAATCATCTGATAGGATGTATGTTCAACGAGGTGTGGTCTCAATGAGGTTTTAATGGGATTTACCCTCTGGTAAACATACAACAAACTATGGAAAATCACTATTTTTGATGGGTAAATGAAGGAACTAAACGGCTATGTTCAATAGCTATGTTAAATTACCAGAGGGTAAGATAACACGACGATTGTGAGAATCATCTGGGTGTGTCTTTAAACGTTGGTTGGAATTAACCCACAAAATTACATTGGTTTATGGCATAATCCCTTCCTCCTAATACTAAACGTCCCCCTAATACTAAAAACAGGCATCCATCTCCAATTTCCGAAAATTTCATTTGGCCAATTTGACTTTTAATTGATCCCCTTTCAAAAACAATTTAAAAATCAACCTACCATTTGTGGGTTCTCCCCCCTAATACTAAAAACTAGTTCACCCCGGGGTGTTTAGTATTAGGGGGGCCTAGTCCCAATCCCTCACTCCAAGCTGCCTAGCTACTCTAGCAATTAGGGGTAAGCTTCTAACTGCCATTTTTGGCAATATTTTAATTGCGTTATATAAGGAAATTTAATTGATTTTGAGATCGGAAAAAATAGTTTTTAGTATTAAGGGTTTTAATTTAGTATTAGGGGTAAGCTTCGAACTGCCATTTTTGGCAATATTTTAATTGCGTTATATAAAGAAATTTAATTGATTTTGAGATCGGAAAAAATAGTTTTTAGTATTAAGGGTTTTAATTTAGTATTAGGGGTAAGCTTCGAACTGCCATTTTTGGCAATATTTTAATTGCGTTATATAAGGAAATTTAATTGATTTTGAGATCGGAAAAAATAGTTTTTAGTATTAAGGGTTTTAATTTAGTATTAGGGGTAAGCTTCGAACTGCCATTTTTGGCAATATTTTAATTGCGTTATATAAGGAAATTTAATTGATTTTGAAATCGGAAAAAATAGTTTTTAGCATTAAGGGTTTTAATTTAGTATTAGGGGTAAGCTTCGAACTGCCATTTTTGGCAATATTTTAATTGCGTTATATAAGGAAATTTAATTGATTTTGAGATCGGAAAAAATAGTTTTTAGTATTAAGGGTTTTAATTTAGTATTAGGGGTAAGCTTCGAACTGCCATTTTTGGCAATATTTTAATTGCGTTATATAAAGAAATTTAATTGATTTTGAGATCGGAAAAAATAGTTTTTAGTATTAAGGGTTTTAATTTAGTATTAGGGGTAAGCTTCGAACTGCCATTTTTGGCAATATTTTAATTGCGTGATATAAAGAAATTTAATTGATTTTGAGATCGGAAAAAATAGTTTTTAGTATTAAGGGTTTTAATTTAGTATTAGGGGTAAGCTTCGAACTGCCATTTTTGGCAATATTTTAATTGCGTTATATAAGGAAATTTAATTGATTTTGAGATCGGAAAAAATAGTTTTTAGTATTAAGGGTTTTAATTTAGTATTAGGGGTAAGCTTCGAACTGCCATGTTTGGCAATATTTTAATTGCGTTGTATAAGGAAATTTAATTAATTAATTAATTAATTAACATGACTTGGATTTGGTTCCCTAATAATAAATACCACCCTAATACTAAAAACTACCTGCCGTGTTTTGTATTAAGGGGGGGGGGTTTAGTATTAGGAGGAAGGGATTATTGCCAACTTTGTGATAACGGACATTTCCTATGGTATATATATATAAGATATATATATATACATACATTATAAAACCATCATCTTCAAGGTGATAGCCCAATGTGCCCCCCCCACTATGCTTGTTGATTTATAATCCCATCTAACTAGTATACTTTAATATGTGCTGCAATATAACCAGCAGTTAACCAAATTAGTTCAACCAACTTAGCGAGCTATCGTAAACGGGGGCCCCACGGGGGCCCCGCCTTGCAAGTTATGTTGGGTTGGTTGATGTTCACCCATTTACATACATACGATGTAATGTATACCCTCTGGTTATTTAACATAGCCATGGTATAGATGGCCCATTTATAGATTATATTCCCAGCTAGAAACATCCATTTATTTTGGGGATTTTCCATGGCTATGTTAAATAACCAGAGGGTATATTGTATAATATAACTAGTTCGACATATCTACCATCAATCCCTCTGCAAGTTAGCCTACTCTTGGGCTTTGGGATTGGGGGCACCACCTTCAAAAAATGTGGGGCACCCAAGATAGCTACTAATATGATCGTTTATAACTACAATAACTGGTTTTTTTTGGAGGATATCTATAGATAGATGTTTTTTTTTCAGACATAAAACTAGGGGGTCCACTATGGAGCTATGTTTGTTGGCATCCCCCCATTGTCTGCGAATCTTCTCGTTGACTTCCGATGGAACCACCAAATCCCCAAAATCCACCAAGGGACGGTCTGTTCACGTGCCTCAACTCCCATCTTCACGAAGGGAATCAAAGTCTTGTCCTGGTGATGGCGCCATCACTGCGAGAAAGGGCGTGATGTTTATGGAGATGTAAAACCAACCAACCATAATGGCGAAAGAATGGCAAGGGAGGAAATTCAATAACTTGTCACTTGGGGTTTAACAAACAAAATTGGTAGTAGCAATCGACGAAATGGGGCAATGGGAATAATATGATATATATATAATGGTCAATTGTAAAAACCAAGGGTGTATATGAAATTCAAAGTATCGTGCAAATAAGATCACAATGGTGTGTAAACAAAGCAACGTGCCTGAACATGGCCCCCAAATGCTTATCTCAATGTGAAGAAAGCGTGAGATCAACCATTTTTTTGATATGTCACCAACCACAGTGGGAGGGCCGGTATGGTTTAGTGGATAAGACGCATCCCTCATGCGTCAGACACGGGTTCAATACCCGGATGCAATATTAGTTCGATAGGTGGGCCATTACCCCACCCCTGCAGTTAAGGGGATGAGCTAGAGTGTGGTCTGTAAAACACTCACTCACCACGGTGGGACAGTCACCAACCATAATGGGAACATGGGATTCGACATATCGCATGGCTATTTCGTTGCGAAAATGGGTGGTGTCCTAAAATGGAACCCATTTTTACCATGGAGTTCACGACTAAAATGGTCTAATATCCCAATTTATGGCGATTATAGCCATGGCTATGTCCACTCATAAACCACAACTGCACCACGTGTTCCACATTTATCTAGATTTAATGGAACATGACAGAACATCATTCATCGTTTAACTATATTTCACATGTGTATATAATACATGTATATATATATATACACATCATATCATATCATATCATATCATATCATATCTACGTACACATCGTCATACCATTAACTATACTATATTATATATATATATATATATTATAATATATATATATAAATATATTTATTATTATTATCATTATTAATTATTATTACTATTATTATTATTACTATTATTATTATCATCATTATTATCAATATACATAATATATATATACGTACATATTATATACATTAACTTATACATACAATCTATATATATATATTATATATAATTATTATTATCATTATTAATTATTATTACTATTTTTATTATTACTATTATTATTATCATCATTATTATCAATATACATATAATATATATATACGTACATATTATATACATTAACTTATACATACAATCTATATATATATATGTATATATATATACAGCATCTGATAAAATGATATGACATCCCCCCGTCAACGACTCGGCCTCCGCAAGGCGCACTTCGGCCTTGCGCACCACGAACCACTCGCGGCCCGCCCAGGCGCTGGTGGAGTCCATGAGTTCCGACCAATCGAAGACGCTCCTCGCGGCCGGCGGCGTTGCGCGGAACGCGTAGGACGGGGTGACTGGGTGGATTCTGTCCGTGAAAATCAGATGTCCATGGCAAGGCATGAATAATGATTGAATGGATTTTTTAGGGGCTGTAGAACTGGGGTCACCAAGATTTTTTTTTTTTTGTGAAACCAACGATTCTGATGCAGTTCGCTATAGAATTGACGTGTTTTTGTAGGGTGTTTCACCGTTCAGATGTGACCATTTCACGTGCGAGACGTGCTTGGGGTGCTTGGGGATATGGTTGATATATGCTAGATGAATAGGGCTGATATATGTTGGGGATATTGGCTGATATATGTTGATATAGATCTGGAACATGGGAATATGATATGGAATGATGGTGAACGAAAAAAAACTATTTATAGCCTGCGATTTTGACCAAATAACACGTACATTATATTTATGATGATGATGATGATGATGATGATGATGATGATAGCTTGTCGGAGAAGGTCCTTAACCTCCTCAAGGCCTATACTAACTATAGATATACATATGATATACGTGTATTAATCAGGAAGGGATGACTCAAACTCACCAAATCTTCATCCAAAAACAACAACTTGTCTTCAGTACTTGAGACTTCATCACTGTCAACACATGCTTCAAATTTCTCTGGAAACCACATCCCATGACACACCTGCCACAAATCCACCAGGAATCATTGTAAACCCCACTTACGTACCATAAACCAATGGTAAATCCACATGATGGTAGCTGAAATTGGCAAAAAAAAATAGCAGTTTTCACCATGTTTGATGGCTAAATCCATCTAAATCTACACTGGTTGGTGGTTTCAACATGTTTCAACCCATCTGAAAAATATGAGTTCGTCAGTTGGGAGTATTATTCCCAATATTGCCAACTGAATGGAAAAATAAACCAAATGTTCCAAACCACCAACCAGTACATATTGAACTTGGGACCTCCCGATGACATCATGACATCCGTTGCATCCATTACCGCCGTTACCGCCGTTGCCATGAGCCATGGCAGCCAAGGGTCATCATGCCAACCACCTTGGATGACTGGATGACCCAAAAATTCACAAGAGAATGGCTGGACTTATCCCTAAAAAACATGTGTGACTTACCATTGTTTAGAGGAAGATGGAAGCTTCAAGGTATTAAAACAAAAAACACATACACATGGGATCAAAAACACTTTTGTAATTGGAACACCATGAGTGGGTGAACCAACAAATAAATCATACCCTGTTGGAATTTCACATGGCTAGCTAGAAAATCACCACTGTAAACATGGGATCATCGTCAAACTGCTACATGGATGATGTTACATTGCCAGCTTAAATAGCCAGACCGTATGTCCATATTACGTGTATATATGTATATCACCTACGCACATATACAAATCTTTGACATAGCTATATATTTGACCCCGATTTGATGTGTGATGTGAGGGTAAAGGATTCATAAATAATACAGCGTGACAGCCGGCAAAGAACTTACAGTCTCTGTAGAGAGAGGAAGAGCAAGTATTTGAACTTTGAGCCATATATATTTTCTACTGCGTACATTACATTACATGATTCTGGCTTCAATGAAATTGTGGCTGGATTTAAATGTAGCAGCAGGATTAGCAAAGGACACCATGTGTGCGTGTGAGGCCCACTGAATACAATATCATTTACATGTCCATGAGACGTACCCTCTGGTAAACTAACATAGCTATGGAAAATCACCATTTTCAATGGGTCAATCCACTATAAATTGCCATGTTCAATAGCTATTGTAAATTACCAGAGGGTAGCGATAATGTCTTGTCATCTTCGCTATCGACATGCGCAACATACCAACCTATCAGTCCTTGGGGGCTTGGGGCAAATGCACATCCCCACCTACAAACCTCTGCTACATATAGAGACTGGTTGGTGGTTTTAACCATCTTGAAAAATATTAGTTTGTTATAGTCAGTTGGGATGATTATTCCTAATATATGAAAAAAATAATAATATTCCAAACCACCAACCAGGAGACATACAAACTTCATTGGAAAAAACATCTATGAATGCCCCGTAAACGGATGACCAAATCGGGTACATCTCTTCTCATTTTCTCCAAGGAACGGGCATGGTGTACTCCCCAAGTGCCAACTCTTTCAAAAAGTAGTCAGCCTGGCGTCTTTGCCGCTTTGGGATGCCAAACATGGCCATCACTGTGACATGTTTGGGGCTGAAACCATGGGACCAAACTCATCATAAGCAAATCACACATCTATTCACCATGGATTTTCATGGATTTTTCCACATCTTTTGATATGAACAAACCCCAGGCTGTTCACCCAGTCCGTTGCTGGCTTCCAGGTAGCACCTGGAACATGATATCGCCCACGCTGGTACCAGCCAACCAAGCTGGCTCATAGCGTTTCATCTGTGGGGTCGATTCCTCAGAAAGGACAAGGCATAGGACTCGCTTGGAACTTGCTTGGAGTTTTTGGGACTTGCGGCTTGGGGCTGCGTTTTGGCCGAGATTTGCCTTTAACGGTTTTCGGGCTTGAAAGGACTTGGAATGCCTTTTTGGGTTAAAATCTAAGCACCATCGGCCGACCAACTGCAAGTAATATCAAGTAATAAGAGGGACCGGGGTGCAGGATCAGCCTGAGTTTTGCGGCGAAGTTGAGCCAGAACCTGTCCCTCTGAAATGAGTTCACATTGGCTGCTTCAACCCCACGGAGAATTTCAGGTAACTTGAAGAACCATGGAAAAGAAGAAACCAGAATCATTGGTTGTATCCACAAACACATTATTTTGGCTATACTTGGATGTGCATCCCATTTAGTAAGTGCTGCAAAGCATTCTGTTTAAATTATATATGTAAAACATGTTACATTTAATGCATCTTTGTACCTATTGTATATACAGTATGTATATATATATATAACAAATTTACCAACCATTTATCATGTGGGAATGGCACACATACCACCTATTTATGACGTTTTAAGTTAATTATTGATTTACCCACATGACCCAAATGGCTAAAAAATGCTGCATGATGGCTCAAGTATGTTTATTCCCCTATATATATATCACTGTAATACTGTAATAGTAGTATAACCATTACTAACTATTATATATTATAATACTATGTAGTACTAGTATAACCATTATTACTAAATAGTGCCATTATTATAGCATTATAATAGTTAATGGATAATTATTATTAATATGATTAGTATAACCATTACTATTACTATTAATGTACTGCTATTACTATTACCTCCATTTATTTTGGTGATTTTCCATGGCTATGTTAGTCATAACCAGAGGGTAATTATATTATTAACCATGGGTATTATTAATAAAACAGTATCATGGTTAATACCCATGCTTAAATTTTATGATTAATATTAATACCCATGGTCAAATAATGAAAACAGTATCATGAAGCATGTTTTCCTCAATGTTTTAACTCAATGGATAAACGATTTCCATGAATAACCATGATAATTGGAGGTTAATAATTTCCATTAATATGATAATTGTTTTCCTCCATAGTTCAAAAGTTCAAGTTAGCTGCTGAACGTTGCTGCCCAGACTCCAAGTTCTGGGGGTCAACCTGAAAGGCCGGGCGGCAGGGCAGCCGTCAGGGCAGCCCGCTTGCTGGTGCACCCAATCAACGCTATATATGTATATATAGAGATTATCTATATATATATAATTCTATATATAAATATCTCTATATATAATTCTAAAATATATACATATAATTATTTATAATTATATTTAATCTGATTTAATTCTATATAGTTACGTATGGTTAAAAAAAATATATATCTAATGATCTAATTATAGATTATAATACATGTATATATAATTATATAATTATATATAATTACAATTATATATATAATTATATAATTATATACATATATATATATTATATCTTATATTATATATGTATATATTATAGTTAGTTGGCCTGGTTTATAAATCAACTCATAGCTGGGCTTCATATTGTCCCTCCAAATCTGATCTAAATGGTCATGGTGGGGTGATACTATACCCCAGTTCTATAAACACAGCTATACCCTCTGGTTATGACTAACATAGCCATGGAAAATCACCATTTTAATGGGAAAACTCACTATAAATGGGCCATCTATACCATGGCTATGTTAAATAACCAGAGGGCACAATCAGTCCTCAAAGTCAAAAAAACAATGGGGGTTGACTCTCTAATCCCAACATCAGGTTTTCAGACACCATGAGGCAACAACACCCTTGAGGATCAACATCCCACCAGACTCATGCTGGGCCGTTGACCTACTGAATCACAAGAACCATCCATTGTACTCTTCAAGTGCGTTCTCAGATTAGGGACAAAACCCAGCTCCTGGTTTTCCGATAACATGCTGTAACTGGCATATACGCAGTATCTAAACATATTATCTAATTAAACTAAACTGTAGAATGAAGCACAGGAAGTGCCTCCTCAGTTCTGATTTGTTGCTTTGAAAAGTTTCTCACCCAATCTAACGAGTTCGATCAATCCACCATAAATCCAGTTATCATCCAGTGGCTCAACCCAAATCCACCATATTTAATCCAGTTAAGTCGGTTAAAGTCGGCCATAAATCTAAGGAGTTTCCCAAGCAAAATCGTCCCAGTCACAGGATCTAAGGAGAACAAAGGCTCACGGCACGCCGTACGTCGCACCTGAACTTCCAACGGGAACTGCGGGAATCTGCTGGGGACCCAGTGAACTTTATAAGGGTTTTAGGTTTTAACATGCTTTAGCCAGCAAAAACTATGGTTTGTTTAATTGGTTCAATGGAAGTGAGATCAAATACAACGAAGAAACCATGGGGGTTCCTGGATTGTTTGCCAAAAGCCAATTGAGGATAGATTTGGATGAATAAACTCTTGGCTGAATAACATAACTGGTTGGTGGTTGAGCCAACCCCTCTGAAAAATGATGGACTTCGTCAGTTGGGATGATGACATTCTCAATATATGGAAAAATAAAAAATGTTCCAAACCACCAACCAAATAAGGTATGAAGCTGTTGAACCTGCGATGAGCTTCGGTCATTTGGTATTTGCATAAGCCTTGAACAAATGAGATGGGTTTTCGCATAAAAAAAAGGTGCCCAATGTTTATGTTAACCCACCAGGGATCGACTTTGCTCCCGGGCATGATTCGTTTGAAACCACGGGGATTCTGTGGTTTTTTGTGTTGACCGATCTAATTAATCCCAGCATTCCCCGGTCCAACGGCGACACATCATATTTGGTCAGCTACTTCTTCAAAGGACTTTAAAACCATATAATGTACTTCAAAACAAAAGTCCTAAGTATGCAATGTTGTGCAAACTGAACTACACTTCGTTGATTGTCCTAAACATATTTGTATTATTATATGTATATTAAACGCATGTGTCTGTGCATGTATAAATCATATATACACATGATCATATGTATGTATATGTCTATAGCTATATAATACTATATCTGGTTGGTGGTTTCAACTCCTCTGAAAAAAATTAGTCAGTTGGGATGATTATTCTCAATATATGGAAAAATAAAAAATGTTCCAAACCACCAACCAGATATATATGCCAATATGTAGTATTTGTATGTAGTATATACTCATATACAGTAGATAGTAGCTGTCAGTTTGAAGATTCTACATGCAGCCATGCTGACATTTGATAGAGGTCTGTCTACTGCGTTGGACAAGCTTGCGAAAATCCAACGAAAAACACAAACTAGCTTTTAAAAAATGGTTTGTCTCAAGAATACTAGTGTTTTTTGGGCTGTACATACTTTTTTTCGGGGCTTTGCAGCTCTTAGTAGATATATGGAGGTTTCCTAAAATGGGGATACTTCCAGTTCACCTATATAGATGTTTTATTTTCGGATTTCCACGATTTTTTTACCATCCAGCTATTGGGGGTACTCCTATGGAACCCCCCAGTATCCCCATTTTATACAAGAATTGTGCAGTCCAATCCAATTCGCCAATTCCCATTCCAACGCTTTGACATCATTTACCTGGTTTGTGGAACCATTTCTGGTTGGTGGTTTTTCGCCACCCCTCTGAAAAATGATGGACTGAAAGTCAGTTGGGATGATGACATTCCATTCCCAACTGAACGGAAAGTCAGAATCCAGCCATGTTCCAGTCACCACCAACCAGATTGAAACATCATAAAAACAGTAGTTCTATAACTTCTGCCAGACTAAAAATCCTCAGAATCTTCGGCCTATGGTGACTCCCTTGGGGATCCCATGGGATATCGCCGCCTTGAGCGCCAGCATGAGATACTCCAAGTTCACCGATGCAGAGGGTTCCAAGGTGGAGGCAATACGCACCTCGGCCCGCGACGCCGACGCCCATGTCGTAGCCAGATGTCATGGGAATTTTGATGTGGTAATGATTTCTATATGGGTAATCAATAGTGATATGGTATGATATGGTTATATGGTAATGATTAATAGTGATCAATAGTGATCAGAGGATTTTTTCTTTTCAGAGGGGTTCAGACCACCAACCAGAGTTGCTGGAAAAAATCCCCATGAACTATAGATAGAACCCCCATAAACACCATAAACCCTACAATGTGAGGCCCCCGGCCACGATAGATAAGTTGGTGAACATAAAACTCCAATTTCACTATGGTTAATGGTACACAAATAACGAACTAGTTACTGGGGCGAATCTAAACCAACGTTCACATCACTGGGGGGCCTCACATCGTATGGTTTTATAGGATATGTCATGGGATAAATTGGATAAATCATCCATAATTGGTGGACAAAATCATGGATTTGAATGGAATTTCATGGGATTTGACGGGATATCATGGAGATACCCTCTGGTGAATACACACCAAAAACAAACAGGAACATCAGCATTTTCTTAAACTCCAATCAATTACACATAGGCCATGTTCAATAGCAAACTGTTGCTTTTTTTTATCGGAGGGTATGGCGCCATGTCATGAGGATGTAACACTAGGAAAACATGGCGATACAATGGGGATGATCTCAGCTCTTTTTTCTTGTTGGACTTGTGGGTTCTTTGATTCTCAATGGAGG